CCAAGAACAGTGCGCGAGGAACAGTGTTTTTTCGACGAACAGTATTGATGTGATTTTTGTGATTTGAACGAATTGAAGTTAGACTCTAATACCAAATTGTTGTAGACTAGAAGGGAAAAATTAGGGATGAGAAGAGAATAAAAAAGGGATGAGAAAAGAGAAAAAATTTGAGAATTAAGCAATATCAGTATTCAATAATAATCAAAGTCTAATTTAAATAATACATGCATCCNCAAGAATTGACACAAGCAAAGACTCACACTTCTTTCGATATGAATTCTTGTGGGTGCAAAGGAGGACTCTGATCCGATGAAACTGAATGAGGGAGTCGGAAGTAAAAATGAGTATTATTTTGCTCTTTATCTGATGCTAGCATAACTAAATCATTTGCCACATTTGGATTAGGAAAGCATGCATAAATAACATAGACATCGTTCAAATAATCATGATACTCATGTGGTGGAATTAAAATTAGAAGGTATCCTATCACGTTGTTTAGTAGACTGTGACTGTGATTNTAGGAAAGCATGCATAAATAACATGGACATCGTTCAAATAATCATGATACTCATGTGGTGGAATTAAAATTAGAAGGTATCCTATCACGTTGTTTAGTAGACTGTGACTGTGATTGACAACCCATCAAGCTATAGTTGGATTTCTTATGAAATCTCTCAACTTTTAGAACATATTGATAAACTGCAACTAACGTATTAAAAGTGTATAGCTTGACCTCCCTATTAATTTTTGGTCTCAATTCAAGAATAAACTGATCAATTGTCCAAGGTTCATCAACAATGTCACACAAGTACATGAGATAATCGAACCAGACAAAGTAATCAGAGACACTAGTAGAATGTTGTCTAAGATTGAACCATTGGTCATAAAATTGATTCGTGTAGGAAGTAGGCAAATACTTCTCTTTCAATATATATCTCATTTTAACCCAAGTGATGTGATTCTCCTAAGCTGGCGAAACCCTCCAACATCAATTTAGCAAAATGGACGCAATGAGAATCTGACATGCTTTGCCAATCAAAATATTTTTCTAAATTAGCTAACCAATCCAAGAATTGATTGGGATCTGGAGTACTAAAAAATGTAGAAGGATCTTTAATTGATTTGGCAATAGATGTTGAATCCTTGTATACATTCCTAGACTTGTTATGATAATGACCTTGAGGAGGGACTTTTAAATTAGAGTAAATATGTGGATTAGAGGCATCATATATACTCATGAGTGAGTCTTGGAACAAGGAAATGACATCAAAACAAGTTCAAGAATGTAATTGACAAATTATTTGGACCCTTTGCAAATTTTTTAATTTTTTAATGAAAAAATATTAGCTTCAAATTTCAATGAAGAAAAAAAATTCTAATTTTTTTTTTTGGCTGGTTCTGTTGGAACGAGACCAAGAGCAGTGTGTGATGAATAGTAAATAGTGGAGACCAAGAACAGTGTGCGATGAACAGTGTTTTTTTGACGAACAATATTGATGTGATTTTTGTGATTTGAACGAATTGAAGTTAGACTCTAATACCAAATTGTTGTAGACTAGGAGGGAAAAATTAGGGATGAGAAGAGAATAAAAAAGGGATGAGAAAAGAGAAAAAATTTGAGAAGGAAGCAATATCAGTATTCAATAATAATCAAAGTCTAATTTAAATAATACATGCATCCTTTTATATAGGGAAACTAAAACCCTAAAAAAATAAGTAATGACAAATAAATGCTTAAATGCTAAAAGAAATTACTTAAAAGATGAATATTAAAAGTATTCAAACTATTATCATGATTAATCTAAAATATCTATTCAATTCTTACACGATCCTTATCACAGATCATAAGTTTATAAATTACTAGAGGATTAGGTTGGATCTGAATGGTTGTGTAAGCTTTAATCGGTTTTAGATCGAGGGATACAGAATGATGTTAATAGTTAATAAAATGATTTGTGTAGTGACTAAGACTAATTAATTTGCTTGGTATTTTGTACAAACAAGAGATAGTTGCAAAAACGGATGATAAGGGTGTGGTAAGAAATGTGACCAACACTAATAGAATTTTAGGGTTTATACATTCTTCCGTGTCTCCTAGAGTAGCAGTGTGATTGGGTGTGGAACCCAGAACACTTGAATTTGATTTGACCCTAGTAACTCTTACAGGTGGTTTTTAGTTAGGTGATATTGTGTGCCCAAGGTGTAAGGTCTATATTGGAGAATAACAGATACAAGTTTATTGAGTATTTTTAGACCTTAGGGGTTATGATATGATATTAATTGCGGACTGGTTAGTCACACAACATACGAAAGTTGGTTGTCTTGAAAAAACAGTCATGTGGATTTAGTTTCGAGGGGACAAGAATTCTTTAATCCCCAGTCTTAAATCTACGT